GCCTGCTCCAAGAAAAGCTTGATGCCACCATGTCAAATGTTAAACCCTGTGAGATGATTAGTCAGACTCTCCTGCAATTCTGCACAGATCCTAGCATGGGCTTGCTCTTCCCTGTACTGCACTTTGCTCAATTTCTGTGTGCTGCGTGCTTTTTAAATATTCACACGGCACTATCTGGAGGAGAGTTCCTCAAAGGGGAATGAGTCTATAACACCAAATCATCTCCTGCTGAGCACCACCAAATCATCGCAACCTTGGACAATCGATCAATTGATTTTGTGTTATTTATGTTGCCCTAAAGGCTACATTTCAAAACCTGAAATGTATGGATTGGAAAAGCTGACAACAATTCATTCTGCTCAAGCTGTTTAATAACACTGCACAGACCTTGTTTGAAAAGCTTACTTTCAAGGGAGGGAACTTAACCAACTTCCAGATCAACTTCCTCCTCAGTTAGGGTGAACAAAAAGTCTTCAAAATATTTAGAATCAGATTTAAGCTAACAAGTCAAGGAAATAATTGTTAAAACTCAAACTCCTGCTTGACACTCTATTTGTAGTTCATCCAGTGGTAATGAGCCAGATTCTTGCCTAGTATACATGGGCATAAATCCACTTAAGCCATGCAAGAATCTTGATTTATGCTTGCTACAAATCTGACCTTTATTTCGGTATTTCATGGTAAGCTCCAATCCTCTTTGCATTGCTCATTTATTGGAATGGAATTAGATTTACCAAGGTATGCTCTGACAAAATGGATTGCTTTTCCCTTAAATTCTTGTGCCAGGGATAAAACGGTGGTCTATTTCAATATAAAGCTGTTAATAAGATAGTTTTGTTGAAGGAAAGTCAGAAATAATAGTATCATTCATTACAATGCACACATTTTTTATTTCTCAAAGTTACACCAAATGAGTACAATATGCTCCACAAAGTACAGCCTCCTTCTAGGAAATCTGAGATAAATCTGCAGAATGGAGGTTGAAATAAGTTTAGCTAACAAGCAATCGCGTAAAAGCTTAACTATATAAAGCCAAATGATTTGCTGAGAGTGTATTGGAATGAATATGCCCTTATGTTTGCTTAACTGAAACTACATTGCTCCAAATTACCTTATGTTCTTTATTTCTAAGTCCACAATCCTTGCACTGAGGCTCTGCACACTCCACAAAGCCAGACTTACCATAGAATCATAGAATCATAGAATCATTGAGGTTGGAAAAGACCTCTAAGATCACCGAGTCCAACCGTCAACCCAACACCACCATGCCCACTAAACCATGTCCCTAAGCGCCTCATCTACACGTCTTTTAAATACCTCCAGGGATGGGGACTCCACCACTTCCCTGGGCAGCCTGTTCCAATGTTTCACCACTCTTTCAGTAAAGAAATTTTTCCTTACATCCAATCTAAACCTCCCCTGCCGCAACTTGAGGCCATTTCCTCTCGTCCTGTCACTTGTTACTTCGGAGAAAAGACCAACACCCACCTCGCTACAACCTCCTTTCAGGTAGTTGTAGAGAGCGATGAGGTCTCCCCTCAGCCTCCTCTTCTCCAGGCTAAACAGCCTCAGTTCCAGAAGATAATAATCAAGAATTTATTTTATTAGTTTTAAATAGAACACTCTCGATTTTTGACTATGCTAACTGCATGGTAAATACAGCTTATCACTGCAGAGAACCATGCTGAGAAAATTGCATGTGAGATTACATTACTGTAAAGTGCTCAATATGGGGGCTACACTCAAAAGATGGAGCTCATGTAGGAGGCAGCAGCCTGTTTGCTAAATTCTGTTTCACATAGGTAACGTCTTACACTGCTGTTTTCAGTCTGCACTAGCTTTTGATTAGCTTCCTGATGATGACTGAAGTCTTGGTTTGCATTGAATTGTTTACAACCTGGCCACCAGGTGAAGACTTCTCCTCTAACGTGATGGTACACCCATAGGGATTTGACATGGATACATTAAGGTTGGTATGGTTGAGGTATGAATGGCAATGTACAAGTGTGAAATCATCAAGAAACAACAAGCAGGGGCAAAGGAATGGTATGTGCAGCTTCCAAAGGCACCAGGCTCTGGAAAACCAAGGGCTGCCTCCTGGGTGGATCTCAGACTTCTGTTGGAGGCAGTTTTTCTCCAGCCCTGACTCCTAGATGAACCTCAGATCTATATTGGAGGTAGCTTGTCTCCAGCCGTGTCTCCTAGGTGGACCTTGGACCTATGCTGTAGCTTTGTCTTCAGCCCTATCTCCTGGGTGGACCTTGGACCTATGTTGTAGCCTTGCTTCAAGCCTTGTCTCTGGTCCCGTCTCCTGCTATTCCTGGACTGCCCTGGACCTGATTCATTAACTTTGCCTTGTTTGGGACTGTTGATGGACCCTGTTATCAGTATCCAAGTCTGCGTGCCATATTTAGGGACAGCACCCAGTCAGTGAAGGCATTGCCTGTGCTGGGTTACCCTCGGCTCCTGCCTTGCACCACAGAGAGTCCTGTTGAGGCTATGTGGCCACACGCATCTCCATCCTCAGACACATGAAAGAAGGACTGAGAACAGTCTGTGAGAGAAAGTATGCATGACATCAGTTTAAAATAAAATAAACTTCCCCTTCTGTGTGGTTTTGCATTGAGCTTTGCTACATTAGCCGAACAGAAGCGAAGAAAACACTCGGATAACTCTGATCTGATGGAGAGGTGCAGGTTTTTTTGTGCCCTTGATTCTGGAGCTTGATCCTGGAGCTTGATCCCTGATAATATGCAAAAGAGATTGGATTTGTTAATCTTGGAGGGTGGGGTGTACTTGATAATCTGGGCATGAGTTTCTTCAAGGCAGGGAGAGGATGAGATGAAGAGGTGCAATAGGTAGAGGAGCAGAGTTTCAAGAAACAGTTCATTTTTGGTTGCTTTCATTTGGCAGCTTATTATATTGTTTTTATTTTCATGTGTAATATAGTAGAGATCTGTAAAAACAGCTGGAAGCCTAACTTTCAGAAATGCCATAGCCCCCAAAAACGAAGTAGATCTTCAAATCAGGCTCTCAGCACTGTTTGGGAAATAAATCCAAATATTTCCTTAAGTGTTTGAAAAGAAGATGCTTTGGCTCCAGAGCAATATGAGAAAATGTACAATCCATTTGATCTGCTTCAGATGCCACAACCATCTGCAACTGCATGTGGCAAACACACATTTCTCAGCTTCGCAGGCACGTATGATTATGAAGAGCTTCGAATACTTTCAGTAAAATAGATAAACCTTTGGTATGCTCTTTTTGTTACTTACCTCTCAGCAGCATTCTGTGGAAAGATCTCCTCCTGGAAGGCTCGGGGGGGGCGGGGGCCTCTGCTGGG